AGCCACACAAATTCCCATTAAATTTTTTTTTTCCTTTTAGAAAAATAAAACATTTCAATAACATTTCAAAGCAATATTCCATGAAGCCCCAATAAATCCCAACCCATGAAACCATTCCCACCCCCCTGACCTGATAACGTCCTCCCAGGTGGATAGAGTCAGCGGATGCAATGGCGGGATTCCTCGAAATCAAAAACTCTCCTTGGAAGGTCAGACGGATCAATGATGATGGACGTAACGTTCTGTCAACTGGTAAACCCAGGCAGGCGCAACGCTCAATTAAAATTGGATACGATTTCTGGGGATATGATAAAAAATGATATATATATATATATATCTATATATCTATATATATTTAAATTTGATTATGCAAAACAAAATATGGCATTAGAGTGTGATGGATTCATTTATGATTAGTATTATTATAAATATTTTAAATATTTATTTTATCATTTTTTAAATTATAACACTAGTTTTTAAATTTATTTTGTGCAAATGCAGCTGTTTTAAAAATAAGTAGGACTAGGGGATGTTACCCAGTGAATTAGTGGAGTTATTTAGAAGTCTCGTGCTGTAATGTTTGTTCTGTCTGTAGTTATAATATTTGTTCTGTCTGTAGTTATAATGTTTGTTCTATCTGTAGTTTGACAACTGACTCTCTGACAACTGATTCTCCTACAAGCTGCCAATCTGACAACTAACTCTCTGAAAACTGACTCTCTCACAACTGACTATGTCACAACTGACTCTCTGACAACCAACTGTCTAACAACTGCCAATCTGACAAGAAACTCTCTGAAAACAAGCTCTCTGACAACGAACTGTGTCAGCTAACTCTGTGAAAATAACCCTGTGACAACCAACTCTCTGACAACTGACTCTTTTTAGCGTTATTGCTTTGAAAACAAAGCGCCTGACTGATCCCAACACTTCTCTCCCTAACGGCACCCTAACAAATGTTTACTTTCAGAGAATGACACATTATCATGCATCTGACCCTAAAAACCTCTCAATTTAATGCCAACTCCCCCCCCCACCCCCTTTTTCCACGTCAAGCACCCTCTTTTTATCTCCTCTCCTCATATCAGCTCTAACACCCCAAGAAGAAAACCTTCTCATCCACCTTCTCCAGCCAACCCTCCAGAACCCCTCGCCCCCTCTAAACTATAACCTTTCTCCTTAAACCCATGCTAGACATTAAAGAAAGTCGCATATTAAATAGGGCACTGCTTGGCACTGACCCTAAAAACCTCACACTTTAAAGCCACTCTCCTCTTTTCACATCAAGCCCCCTCTTTATCTCCTCACACCAGCTCTAAAACCCCAAGAAAAAAGCTTCTCATCCCACTCTGCAGACAACCCTTCAGCCCCCCTCTACACCATAATTTTTCTCCTTAAACCCCCGCCTATCTCCCTGTTCTAAACACTCATCCACCAACATGCTGTCCTCTGTCCTGTATCCATGCGTCGTTGGTGGGTGCCAGCCATAAAAGCAAAGTCATCATACCTTTTCCCCAAATGACAGTGGCTGTGGTTTTTTTTTTTTTTTTTTTTTTTTTTTTTTTTTTTTTTTTTTTTTTTTTGAGAACTGCTAAAAAATTTGACGACACGCTAAAAGACTGGAACCAAGGGCGCTTATCTTTTTTTTTAAAAATCAACCACAACAATTTAAATGAATCAAAAGGTTCTCACCATGTCGCATATGGCGCAGAAAATGTTCCGGTAAAATTTGAGCGCCGAGGTGTGCCAGACGCGATACTTGGCCGCAGTCAGCTGGTTACAAGCCACCACAATGTCCTGGTCTATGTCATCAACTCCTGGCGCTTGTTCACATGTATCGATAACGTTCTCTCTGGAAATATCGCGGGTAAAGCTCACAATAAAATCAGGCAATGTGAAACAACATCATAAACTAATCAACTTATTTATGCTTCACTTTTGGTCGACTCCTGAGTAGTCGATTCCAATAAATGTATGTTTTTGTGACTATAGTTAAATTTTAGTAATAATAATAGTACGATGGAATGTTTTGAATTCAAATTGTATTGAGTCGTTTATTGCAATTTCAAAATATGATTGATAGCGTCATTATAATATTTTAATTTTCCGGCATATTTAAAAATGGGTTTGGTTAAGTATTTTGTTGCTTTTCTGACAACTTTTGGCTATTCATTTTGGTGGAACCGGAAATAACGTGTGTAAAGGGGTATTCTATGAAACGATCAGTTGGATTTTCATTATTCTACAATCATATATATGATTGTTTTTCTTCATTTTTACGGTATTTTACTTGAGGCAATGGAGCATGTACCGGCTGAAATGACGTAGAAAATGGAGCGACCATTGGTCGTTGACGCCTTAAATTTGAACGTTATTGTCCAATTTTCTTTTCTCTCGGTTAATAGTGAAACCAGCACATTCTCTCAATTTGTTCTCCTCCATTTTAGCAGAGATAATTTTTTTAACGCAGCCGCCATCTTGGTTACATGACATTTCACGGGTAGTGGCTACCAAGATGGCGGCAGTATGATTCGTCATGACACCAATGGTCTGCATTTACCAAAATTAACATTTAAATAAGTATAAGTTAAATTTACATTATAAATATATATTACACTCCGGTGACCACGTTTAACATTAAGTATCGATACCAAGATTTCTAGCTTGGCCGATTCCGGCTATAAAATTGCTATAGAAACCTCACCCGAACTGTTCTTGGTAGCAAGTGAAAGGTCTTTCAATAGTTTCTGGTAAAGTAAAAGTCACTTTGCAGTTGACCTTGTCCATCAGATGGAATCTTAACAACTCGTCAATATTGGTGGCCTTGTACACAAACATATGGCTGTTACAGCCCAGATTGGTGTCAATAGGGATGGCCTGCATTATGATATGAATAGAAGAATGGACACGTGTAAAAAAAAAAAAGATGGATTGCCAGATGGTTGGACTGAAGGGTGAAAAGATGGATGTACAACGAGATTAACATATGGTGTACAATGTACAGGAGAATCGTCAGATGGATGTACAGAAAGATGGATAGGTAGATGGACAGAAGGACGGACATATAAAATGGATGTACAAAAGGGTGGACATATGCAGTGACAGATTAAATTATAGACTGATTGATTGGACTGATTGATTGGACTGATTGATTGGACTGATTGATTGGAATGATTGATTGGACTGATTGATTGGACTGATTGATTGGAATGATTGATTGGAATGATTGATTGGACTGATTGATTGGACTGATTGATTGGACTGATTGATTGGACTAATTGATTGGACTGATTGATTGGACTGATTGATTGGACTGATTGATTTGACTGATCGATTGGTTGTACAGCAGAATAGACAGGTATTTTTGTCTTTTTTAATAAGCTAATTAATGTGCGCGCATCATTTCTACTCTATCATTATAGGTCGTTTGTCAATACCAATTTCAATAAATAATAGCCACTAACATGGCCACCTTGCATTCATGGTCTACCTAACTGATGGTGAAAAGCCACTAACTCTGCCACCCAGCTTCCTTTGACCTACTGACTGGGAGAGGTTATCTTTATTCAAGTTAGATTGAATATTTACCCCAAGTTTGTCGTTACACAGGGCGCAGAACTTGTTACGGTAGAAAACCTGCGTCTCCATATCAACATAAGGAATGTACGTGTCGAGAGTCAACTGATCTAAAGCCATGTCTCTCTCACAAAGATCTGCAACACTTCTGTTGACTGAATACTCGGGTGGACACGAACGTATGTGGAGAAATGAGAATTCATCGGTTTGAAAGCATTCGAGTTTCGGGTGCTCTTTCTCCGTCACGGTTTCTTTCCGTCGCCGACGAGAAGTCTCTTTCTGGTGACCACGTGGGAAGACGTCACCATATTCCCATGCTATGTTTGGAGAAGGCGTCGACAAGTTGGGACAGCAACTGTTGTAGATTTCACAGGCGGGTCTCTGGCTTTGACAGGAACAGGACAGCATGCAGCCGACGAAGGTTCGACCTCGACTGCAGCTCTCTCGGCAGTAGGTTTGGTGGTATTCTTCAGCTGTGAACAGAGTTTTGTTCCAGGCGAAACGTAAGCCTTTGGTCGGACCACTTTGCGTGGACGTGGAGTCAGTAGCAGAGAGCGTCTCCTCTACCTGTTCGGTTTGGCATCTGGGTGTCATGCCATACGTACTGGTGATAACAGTGCACACGATGGCAAGAAGGTGGCCAGGAAACATCTTTGAGCTAGACACTAACATTGTTAATGAGCAATCGTTATAATGCGAAATTGTTTTTTAAAACTCTCAAAGTTCACAATGGACAAACAGGCAGGTGGATATTGAAAAGGATGATACCTCACAAGACACATCGCTTTTATGGATGTTGGTTTGTGATTTTTTCTCTACAATTCCGAGATCTCAAATATACATTTTTCCCATCATATTAATTATTTTCATCAGAAATAACAATATACATTTTTTTAAGAATGGGATGCAAATTTGTTTATCGACTTCAAATGACTTTTGTAGAATGTTCAAGTGATTCGTGTACAAACCTCAAACTAATTAAAATAATGTAATTATGAAAAAAGGCGGGTTTCAATAATTAAAACGTGATTGATGTGGTTCGTGTTGTGGAGCTCACAGTTAAAGGCAATTAAAAGATCATAATTGATGGAATAAGGTCTAATTGTGTCAATGAAATAGTAGAACTAGGTTTGTTAAGCTTGAATCAATTGACAGGACAAAGAGATTTGGACGTTTAGGCTTACAGCGGTGTTTCCCAGCGTGGGGCCTACGCCCCACAGGGGGGAGGGCGGCTATTTAGCTATTTGATTGTTTAGGGAATTTGAAAGCCGAAAAGAAGAAAGAGCAACATTAAATTCTCTATTTGCTGCTCATACTGCAACTGTCAATCGTACTCTTGAGGCTAGTTATGAAATTTCCGTACTCATTGCTAAATCTGGGGAAAATCAAAACATAAGAAAGAATTTCATCAAATTATCAATATCAGCTTTCTTAAAACGGTTCTGGAAAAAGATGAAAAAGACGTGAAAGCTGTGCCACTCAGTAACAATACTGTTAACAGAAGATTAGACGAAATGAGTGAAGATAATAGAATACAACTTGTTGAAATGCTGAACGCAAGAAAATTCTCAATGCAAATGGATGAATCAAATTTGAGTAACAGTGAGACTGTGTTGATAACTTACGTAAGATATATTGATAAAATGTATTTTGCTGAAGAAATGTTCTGTAAATCATTAGGAAGCACCACTACCACCAACGACATATATAATAAGCTAAAAATACTTAGATGGCAATAATATACCAATGACAAATATCACATCTTGTGCTGCATATGGTGCTCCTGATATAATGAGCAAGTAAAATGGCTGATTAAAATTGATGAAAGATGAGAATCCGGAAATGCTACTTGTGCATTGCGTTATCCATAGGGAAAACTTAATAGCTAAAATAGCTAAAATCATTTCGCATGTTCTAAATGAAGCACTAAGTTCAGTTCTAAAGTGAACCAATGCTGTTACACCTAATGCCAATTGAGAACGCCTCTTCACGCTATTCTTTGAATAAGAACACAATGCAGACTGTGTGAGACTTTAAATTCACACTGAAGTAAGATGCCTTTTGAAAGGTAATTCCTTGAAAAGATTTATGGAACATTTTGATACTTTTGCCATTTTTAAAGTGATAAACCTGATATGAAGTATCTGGTAACGGTGGATGTTAAAGCATTTTTTAGTTATTTAGCCGATATATTTTATAAACTAAATATATTAAATAACCAACTTCAAGGAGCAAATAAAACTCTTGTCGATGCAAAAGCGAAGATATTTGGTTTTATTACCTTTGAATTATTTCAGATTCATATTTACAGCAAACATTTTGAAAAGTTTCATAGCCTCCAAAAATGTTAAGTGGCTAATACAGCTAGATCTATACTTGTTATTGTCGATCATCTGAAAATTATATCGACTGATAAAAAGAAAGTTTTTCTGGTTTGAAAAAAAACTTGATTTTCCAACTTGGATGATGCAGCCAATGTTAGTGGATTTGTCTAATATTTCAAATATGTAGTATCAAGAAGAATTCGCAGAAATGCAAATGACGAGTCAGTTAAAACTTTATTTAAAATAAAAGGAGCAATGGCATAACTTTGTGAGGAAACAGAAATCAAATATCCAAAATCGACCAAATTTACAAGAAAACTATTGTTACCGTTTCCATCTTCATATTTTGCTGAATGTGTATTTAGTGCCATAATTGATTAGTTGAAAAAAACAAACAAAAAAACTATCTATAACACATCAGGGAGACTTGGGACAGAGGCTAACTAAATTGGAACTTAACATGAAATCTCTTTAAAAGGGTGGGAAACACTGTCCTTCATCAGCAAACAAAATAAATAGCAGTAAGAAAAGTAGCAGCACAGTAAAAAAACTGAAGAGATCGTATGTTGGAAGTATGTTGGAAATATGTTGGAAATATGTTGGAAGTATGTTGGAAGTATGTTGGAAGTATGTTGGAAGTATGTTGGAAGTATGTTGGAAGTATGTTGGAAGTATGTTGGAAGTATGTTGGAAGTATGTTGGAAGTATGTTGGAAGTATGTTGGAAGTATGTTGGAAGTATGTTGGAAGTATGTTGGAAGTATGTTGGAAGTATGTTGGAAGTATGTTGGAAGTATGTTGGAAGTATGTTGGAAGTATGTTGGAAGTATGTTGGAAGTATGTTGGAAGTATGTTGGAAGTATGTTGGAAGTATGTTGGAAGTATGTTGGAAGTATGTTGGAAGTATGTTGGAAGTATGTTGGAAGTATGTTGGAAGTATGTTGGAAGTATGTTGGAAGTATGTTGGAAGTATGTTGGAAGTATGTTGGAAGTATGTTGGAAGTATGTTGGAAGTATGTTGGAAGTATGTTGGAAGTATGTTGGAAGTATGTTGGAAGTATGTTGGAAGTATGTTGGAAGTATGTTGGAAGTATGTTGGAAGTATGTTGGAAGTATGTTGGAAGTATGTTGGAAGTATGTTGGAAGTATGTTGGAAGTATGTTGGAAGTATGTTGGAAGTATGTTGGAAGTATGTTGGAAGTATGTTGGAAGTATGTTGGAAGTATGTTGGAAGTATGTTGGAAGTATGTTGGAAGTATGTTGGAAGTATGTTGGAAGTATGTTGGAAGTATGTTGGAAGTATGTTGGAAGTATGTTGGAAGTATGTTGGAAGTATGTTGGAAGTATGTTGGAAGTATGTTGGAAGTATGTTGGAAGTATGTTGGAAGTATGTTGGAAGTATGTTGGAAGTATGTTGGAAGTATGTTGGAAGTATGTTGGAAGTATGTTGGAAATATGTTGGAAGTATGTTGGAAGTATGTTGGAAGTATGTTGGAAGTATGTTGGAAATATGTTGGAAATATGTTGGAAGTATGTTGGAAGTATGTTGGACATCTGTTGGTTGAGGTTAACGCTTTGGAAAGGTTTGGTCCCGAGGAGGAAGAAGTACAGCAGAATGGAATAGTGTGGGTGTGTGGACATTATTTTAGGCGTGAGGCTTGTGGGGTATTAGTATGTATTAAATATTAGCTGTGAGGCGTGTGGGGTATTGGTGTAAACTGTACATTAGGTGTGAGGCGTGTGGGGTATTGGTGTAAACTGTACATTAGGTGTGAGGGGTGTGGGGTATTGGTGTAAACTGTACATTAGGTGTGAGGCGTGTGGGGTATTTGTGTAAACTGTACATTAGGTGTGAGACGTGTGGGGTATTGGTGTGGACTATATATTAAGTGTGAGGCGTGTGGGGTATTGGTTTGGAGTATATATTAAGTGTGAGGCGTGTGGGGTATTGGTGTGGAGTATATATTAAGTGTGAGGCGTGTGGGGTATTGGTGTGGAGTATATATTAAGTGTGAGGCGTGTGGGGTATTGGTGTGGAGCATATATTAAGTGTGAGGCGTGTGGGGTATTGGTGTAAACTGTACATTAGGTGTGATGCGTGTGGGGTATTGGTGTGGAGCATATATTAAGTGTGAGGCGTGTGGGGTATTGGTGTAAACTATACATTAGGTGTGAGGCGTGTGGGGTATTGGCGTGGACTATATATTAAGTGTGAGGCGTGTGGGGTATTGGTGTAAACTATACATTAGGTGTGAGGCGTGTGGGGTATTGGTGTGGACTATATATTAAGTGTGAGGCGAGTGGGGTATTGGTGTAGACTATACATTAGGTGTGAGGCGTGTGGGGTATTGGTGTGGACTATATATTAAGTGTGAGGCGTGTGGGGTATTGGTGTAAACTATACATTAGGTGTGAGGCGTGTGGGGTATTGGTGTGGACTATATATTAAGTGTGAGGCGTGTGGGGTATTGGTGTAAACTATACATTAGGTGTGAGGCGTGTGGGGTATTGGTGTGGACTATATATTAAGTGTGAGGCGTGTGGGGTATTGGTGTAAACTATTCATTAGGTGTGAGGCGTGTGGGGTATTGGTGTGGACTATATATTAAGTGTGAGGCGTGTGGGGTATTGGTGTAAACTATACATTAGCTTTGAGGCGTGTGGGGTATTGGTGTGGACTATATATTAAGTGTGAGGCGTGTGAGGTATTGGTATAAACTGTACATTAGGTGTGAGGCATGTGGGGTATTGGTGTAAACTATACATTAGGTGTTAGACGTGTGGGGTATTGGCGTGGACTATATATTAAGTGTGAGGCGTGTGAGGTATTGGTGTAAACTGTACATTATGTGTGAGGCGCGTGGGGTATTGGTGTAAACTATACATTAGGTGTGAGGCGTGTGGGGTATTTGTGTAAACTGTACATTAGGTGTGAGACGTGTGGGGTATTGGTGTGGACTATATATTAAGTGTGAGGCGTGTGGGGTATTGGTGTAAACTATACATTAGGTGTGAGGCGTGTGGGGTATTGGTTTGGACTATATATTAAGTGTGAGGCGTGTGGGTTATTGGTGTAAACTATACATTAGCTTTGAGGCGTGTGGGGTATTGGTGTGGACTATATATTAAGTGTGAGGCGTGTGAGGTATTGGTGTAAACTGTACATTAGGTGTGAGGCGCATGGGGTATTGGTGTAAACTATACATTAGGTGTGAGACGTGTGGGGTATTGGCGTGGACTATATATTAAGTGTGAGGCGTGTGGGTATTGGTGTAAACTATACATTAGGTGTAAGGCGTGTGGGGTATTGGCGTGGACTATATATTAAGTGTGAGGCGTGTGGGTATTGGTGTAAACTATACATTAGGTGTGAGGCGGGTGGGGTATTGGCGTGGACTATATATTAAGTTTGAGGGGTGTGGGGTTTTTAAGGCGTGTGGGGTATTGGCGTGGACTATATATTAAGTGTGAGGCGTGTGGGTATTGGTGTAAACTATACATTAGGTGTGAGGCGTGTGGGGTATTGGCGTGGACTATATATTAAGTGTGAGGCGTGTGGGGTTTTGGTGTATACTATACATTAGGTTTGAGGCGTGTGGGGTATTAGTGTGTATTAAATATTAGCTGTGAGGCGTGTGGGGTATTGGTGTGTACTATATATTAGGTGTGAGGCGTGTGGGTAGGAAGAACTCCAGCACTTTTTATTTTGTCATTATGTTGATTGTTTTATCTCAAGTGAGGCTTATCGTCTTGAATGTCATTTGACTCATGACGGAGTCATGGACTTTTCTTAATGAAGTCTAGAATTTCAAATACTGAATGACTTAATGGGTCGCTCACTCTTTCTTTACGAGGGCCAGTAAGAAGATCTCTTTAGGGTCTTAGCCATGGATTTTTTGAGACCAATTCAATGTGGCTTAGATGTTTGATCGAAAAATCTTCCCTATGTTTATTTTATATATATAAAATTATATTTAAAATGTAAGTTACACAAGTCTCTTTTTTCCTTCTTATTGAAATTCAACGTGAGGCAAGAATTTCTGTGTTTTTGTTGTTGTTGTTTTTTTTGTCTTTTTGTGGTAGTGTTGATCTGATCAGATTACTTTACATTAATTAAGAATGTAATTAAATATTATTAGGTGAAAAACACACCAAAAAAAATTAATTGCATTGCAAAACTTCTTTTACCAGCTCTTGAGCTACACAAAAATTGTTTCTTTTATGTCACCCTGACATTTCGTTGTGGCTTAAGGGTGGAACTGTCATCAAAATTGTTTACAAGTGCTCATCACGAAGCTGCTCTGTTCTACTGACAAAAAGATATTCTATATCCATGACATCTCCATGTTCTTTCTTTTTTGTTCTTTTGACAAATCCATGTCCAATCTGAGTTTGTTCTATAGTTATCTCCATATTCTATATAAATTTGTTCTATAGTTATCTCCATGTTCTATATGAGTTTGTTCTATAGTTATCTCCATGTCCTATATGAGTTTGTTCTATAGTTATCTCCATATTCTATATGAGTTTGTTCTATAGTTATCTCCATGTTCTATATGAGTTTGTTCTATAGTTATCTCCATGTTCTATATGAGTTTGTTCTATAGTTATCTCCATGTTCTATATGAGTTTGTTCTATAGTTATCTCCATGTTCTATATGAGTTTGTTCTATAGTTATCTCCATGTTCTATATGAGTTACGTGCATCCACATAACGTTGATGACAATTTCATTTCAGGGAGTCACATTTTTCCTTTCCCACTCTTACGTAAGGACTTGACCACTGCCCCTTCATCCTATAGAGATAATCTTTACTATGGGGCTCCTTCTCATAGCACGCAGCTATATACAGGGAATTATAAAGTAAATAGATGACTTTACCAATACCGGTAAATGACAGCTTTTACCAAAAATAATGAATTTGTTTCCACTGTACTTGTTCTAGCTCGGTAGTTGAACATACCCACAGATAATATGAAGATGTGTGTTTAAGCTCGGTAGTTGAATATACTTCTTCTTCTTCTTTATTTTGAGGGCCCACTATCAATGAATTGATCATTTTGGCTCCTTTGCTTTAGAGGGGTTTGCGATGTTACTGTGCATGGGTTTCAAGGGGATACTTCACTGGTTGAAAGGGCTACTCAGCAGTGGTGTTACGAACTGGGAGTTGCAATACAGGAGGCAGCAGACACAAATGTGTCGAGTGTAGGCGCCTAAACTGTTGCTTTTGGAAGCTTGTTCCAGTCCCCTATAGTCTTCGGCAGGAATGAGGAGCTAATGTACTTTGTTCTTGTCTTGACCAGCCGGAACTGTCTGTCGTGGCCTCGTCACTGTCTAGGGGGAAGATGAACGAGTTTCTGTTTGATGCCGGAGCAGTGGACCAGCCCATTTTTTATCTTGTACAACATGGTGAGCCTGGATAGTCATTGTCGTTCTTCCAATGGTGACCAGCCCAGTGTTTCTTGCATGCTGCCAACACTTGAGGTGTTTCTGTAGCGGTTCAGGACATACCCAGAGATAATATGAAGATGTGTCTTTGGAATAGAACATTCATCCACCATGCAGGCGATGGACAGAAGTAACAAAATACACTAAAACAAAGACATGTCTTCAGTGGCCTGCTACTATAAAAGTTCTGAGGATACTGCAACAAAGACATGTCATGCAAGGCCTGCTAATACAACAGCTTTGAGCACACTATAACAAAGAAATGCTTTGGGTGACCTGTTACTTAAACAGCTTTAAAAAAAATACCGGTACAAAAAGAAATCTTTAAATTTGCTCCCAGTAGACTCACAATTTTAAAATTTTTCGAAGCTTAAATTAAATAAATCCATAATATTCTTTTGAGACCCATTAGTCTCATTAGATCCAAGTGCCATGAGATTTATTAGTCTCATTAGATCCAAGCACCATGAGATTCATTAGTCTTATTAGATCCAAGAGCCATGAGATTCAATAGTCTCATTAGATCCAAGCGCCATGAGATTCATTAGATCCAAGAGCCATGAGATTCAATAGCCTCATTTGACCCAAATGCCATAAGATTCATTAGTCTCATTAGACCCAAGTGCCATAAGATCCAAATATGACATAAAATCAGGCATCATCAGACAAGAACAAAGATTAGCAACAACAGGGTCATTGTACAATAAATGGCTTTTATTTACACAGGGGACATTCCTCTCTTGACCACAAACATAAAGTCATTTCTAGGTTACAGTAAATTTTTAGAATGTCTACAATGGTTTTTCTGGTTTTTGATCACAAACAGAATCTTTGAGGTTGAAACTTTCATGAGGTCCATCACATGATCCTTCTTCATTTGATTGTTCCAAAAAGCTGATATCATCTTGCTCAGGCCCAGACATATCTTCCTGACCAAGCAGGCGATGACCATCAGACAAGAATCCCGCATACTGATTGACAGGAGGAAGTTGGACTTTTTCAGCTTCTGGACCGACGAATAACCTCTCCGGGGTCAAGAGTTCAAAGTTGCTGTCAATATTGTCAATGATATGATCAAGGTGCCAGTGTTGGCGGAGAAGTGCTCTCTTCACATCAAATGCTCCGTACCTCAGTCGCCTAATCCCGGTGCACACGGCTGTTGTCTTGAGTTTGATGGCGAGGTCATTGATAAGCTGGCGTAAGAACTGACAGGATTCGTTGATCCCGTGAATCTCTGGAAATAAAAGTTAGAAAAGTTGTTCATAAGAAAAAGTTAAACTTTTAGGGGAAAGGGCAAAAAAACAAAGCTTTGATGATCATAAGGTCAACCAATGTGCATGTGAACCAAGGTGCATGTGAACCAAGGTGCATGTGAACCAAGGTGCATGTGAACCAAGGTGCATGTGAACCAAGGTGCATGTGAACCAATGTGCATGTGAACCAATGTGCATGTGAACCAAGGTGCATGTGAACCAAGGTGCATGTGAACCAAGGTGCATGTGAACCAAGGTGCATGTGAACCAAGGTGCATGTGAACCAAGGTGCATGTGAACCAAGGTGCATGTGAACCAAGGTGCATGTGAACCAAGGTGCATGTGAACCGCGGTGCATGAGAACCAAGGTGCATATCAAACAAGGCGCATTGTCATTGTGTACGAAAATTCAGCAACACAGTATAAAAAATGCTTTTTACAGGTTGTGATTCTTGAGCCAAGCAGTTTATTATTCCCATAATTTATTTGTTAAAAAAATCAAATTATTACTATAACTATAATAATGTTAAGATATAAATGCTAAAAAATGTCTGTTATGTGAAATGAATATGACCTTGACGTTTCTACAATGAGTACAATTGTGCTGCTGTTTATCCTTTCTTCAACTCACACCCACTCCCGACTGTTACCCACACAGACTGTTACGCACACCGGCTGTCACCCACACCAACTGCTACCCACATTGACTGCTACCCACACCAACTGCTACCCACACTGACTGCTACCCACACCGACTGTTACAAGCAAGGCCAACATCTGAGTCCTACAAGCAAGGCCAACATCTGAGTCCTACAAGCTAGTTTTAACATAAAAATTGCACAATTTCAGCTCCATTCAAAATAATAAAAGAAATATATGAAAACATGAAATATTTACCTTAGTTTTCTATAAATAGGACTATATTTTAATTTGTAAGAGTTACCCCTCTTATTTATATACATATATGTGTGTATATATATATGTGTGTATATATATATATATATATATATATACTAGCCTATATACCCGGCGTGGCCCAGGATTGCATTAGGACCCCATCCTGGTTTGACCCCGATCCCATTGGGACCCCAATCCCATTCTGATAACGATTTAAACACAGTCCTGTTTCCCGGTGTGATCCCGATCCCAGTAGATCCATTCAAGGTTAGGATCCCGATCCCGGTGGAATCCCTTTTTCTGGTGGGATCCTGACCTGGTTGGGATAAAAATTATGATGCGATCCCGACCCATTTGGGATCCCATGTCAAAAAATTCTTCAGTGGTACTGAGAGAAAAGTAAACTCTGGGGCAGTATAGAAATGAATAGAACTAACTAACATTTCAATATTCCCTTAGATTCCACTATATACCCCTTTGGAACAATTTAGACTTTTCTGGAATATTATAGATTAAATTTAATAACCTGCTCAAAACATGTGTAAAAAAACGTTTCTAATTATTTTTTGAATACGATGATCTTCAACAAACACCATAATTATAATACTTTTTCTTTTAAGTTAATCAAGGGGCCCCGGGGGCCCATTCCATAACTGTACCCATCTACTTATGGCTTAGATAGGGGACCCTACAAATATCAGACGGATAAATAATAAAGTTAAAATTTAAAATTGGTCCCATTAAAATCTACTTAAAAATGCCATAGATATAGTTTTTTAAAATTATTGAACTTTCTGGAAAATTCTAGAATGAATATTATTAGTTTTAAATTCACCGATAGTTCAAAACGGACAATGAAGGGTATTGCTACAACGATAGGCCTATATCCATCAATTTACATAGAAATTATAGTGTTGTCTAAGACTATTGATATTTATATGGCTTATTTAAGAAAAAATGAAATGGGGCCCCCGGCCCCATAGGAATGGATATTATGAGTTCAGTACCTTTCGGTATTTGAGTATGGATAATAAAGTGTATGTGTACTAAGTTTTTTCAAGATCCATCCATTCGTATAGGATTTTTGTTGTTAATTTTTTTATATAGGTTATATAGGAAAAAACTACATTTTGGGCCCCCAGCCCCAAACCGAATGTTATAAAAAGTTCATAACCCCTTAAGAGTTCCTTCTGGATAATGATGGATATATGTGCCAAGTTTGGTCAAGATCCATCAATCCACGTAAAAACGTATGTGGAACAAATCCAGCCACAAATAAACTTTCACTTTTATATATATATAATTGTATATATATATATATATATATAAATAAATAAATAAAAACGTATATTATTCATTCGCATTTATAACATTAATCGTAATATAGCCCCATTACATTAGCCATAACACCATAAAAGCATCCATAGTAGCTGGTCATGGGCCATTTTGACAGTTCAAGGGTTAAAGTCTGCATCATAAGATGGCTAAAACTCAGAGACTAAGTAATTAATTTTAAATATAGAGTTCCAGGCCATGAACTTCCTACACAATGGCTCATCACTTTCAACAAAGGAAAGGGAAATATTAACATTTGGTGAGCACAAACTCAAGATTTACCCAGAGTGAAGTCAGGAGGCTGAAAATCAATGCACTTGACGCCATACAGGATGGGATGTGTCTTTCTGTGCGCAGGACGAATGATCCCGGAGGCTGCCATCTCGTAGGCCTCTTGACTGTCAGGATTCACACCGTGTAAACTGGCAACAAGAAATGTTAGAAGGAAATCAAATTAATTCAATCATCAGAGGACAATCTGTTTCTATTTTACTTTTTTAAAATTTGAAATAAATCCAGCTTTAAAAAAAATTACATAATTACTTGTGGAAACTAAAAAATTTCTTCACTGTCTTTAAATATAAATTGGATGAAATAAAAGTACTGATATTTGAATCAAGGAATTTTAATAATTGTTCTGAAATAACCCACTTGTGCTGATAAATATAAATAATAAATAGAGTTGATATGAGTTTAAATAAATCCTTCAAGTGTAGGTCATCAGCCACACAGAGAGCCTTGCCTTAACAAGTCCTCTAAATGGATTAACAACTCCTCTAAGTGGATTAACAAGTCCTCTAAGTCAGCGTTTCCCAAACTTTAAAGCTTCACGGACCGGTGGACAAGTTTCCAAACTGCACCAGGGACCGGTGCCAGATTTATTCATTACATTTTCTTTCTATTTAAACATCACTATTCATGCTCTCTGGACCGGTAACGTAAGGCTTGCCGACCGGTGCCGGTCCATGGACCAGCGTTTGGGGAACGCTGCTCTAAGTGGATAAATAAGGAAGTTAAAAGGCTTTGGTCTACACAAAAAATAAAAAGCCAAAAAAAAACCCCAAACTTTTCCTCATACATCGTTAATATGTACAACAATTATCTCTGAAAATAAGACATGTGTTTATATGCATTGGATGGAATGGTAGGTTTATCTAGACATACCTGCATATGTATCTAGACATACCTGTACCTTATTTATTTATTTAGACATACCTGTACATTTGCTTGGTGTGAGCGGCCTGTGTGGCAGAACACAGTTTCTCAAGTTTGGATAGTGACACATGTTCTGTCAAAGACAACATTTATTCACGCATATACACATAATATATGTATGCTTCAATTTAACTAGTAATATATCAACAAAAAGTTGTACATAGGAGCCAGAATGATCAATACGTTGATCGTGGGTACTCTAAATATAGAGGAAGAAGTGATACAGAATCAGTCAATAATCTTTGCTCTTTAAAAATAATTATTAAACAGTTAATATTGCCAAACATAAATGTAGTCATAAATGACATGAAAGGGAGGACAACTCACTGAAGCTTGTTCTTTGAATGATTCGCCCTTTGGGAGAAAAATTGTGTGTGGCCCATCCAAACCTTCCTTTCACATGGTACACCTGGAATGTACACGTTAGACATTTTTAACATGATACACCTGGAATGTACACATTAGATATTTTTAACATGGTATGCCTGGAAATGTACACGTTAGAAAATTTTAACATGGTGCACCTGGAATGTACACATTAGATATTTTTAACATGTTACACTTGGAATGTACATGTTAGCCATTTTTGTCATTCTTTTTTTTAATTTTAAATTTTAACACAAAAAATTTTGTTAGACTTTAAATTTTTTTTGTTGAGAGTATACACTGTTCATTGAACTGAAATTGTTTTTATTTTGGATTTCTATTGACTGAGGATACCACAGGAGGTAAAGAAGGAAAAATCTCATCACAAATAACTTGATAACACTAACAATAAAAATTTTTTTTGTTTTTTTAAATTTATTATGCGTTTCCCATCACATCACGGAACAAAATCTGATAAAAGATAAAATATGTCCTAAGCTAAGGAACAGAGTTGTAGCTACATACACTAATTCCAATTATGTATGACTATGAGCGACTCAATCATTGAAAATCATTAAGACTTCAGAGTTACCTTTTAAATGGTAAAGTACAAACGAATAAAAACAGAAATATCACTCACTCGTAAAAATTTGGACATGGCGATCATTTCCACACTTTGACGTCCAAACTGACCGATTCCAAGAACTGCAGAAAATATATTTCACATTTTATTAAGTTTGATTAAAAACTCTTCGACAGTTCCTGTATAAATTTTCATAACTTGTATTGTATAGACCATGTGATATCAGGCTTTTATAAATAAAACTAATTTTTTATTACCAACAAATTTTTTTTAACTTTGACTGTTATAGATAACGTAAAAAAATAATTCAGCCTTTGATATATAGGCGGATAAACAGCAAGTACCTAAAACTCCAGATGTATGCCTAGAGATGCCATCAATGAAACTTAGCTTGAAATCAGATTCATCATAACGGTCACCCAGCACTGAGAAAAAAAAAAAAAAAGAATTTACTCAAACATATCTCAATAAACTACTGCCAGTTAATTCTAACTTTTTTCTTTCAAATATTATCAAGTTGTATTTCTTTAACAAGCTTACCATTAAATATGATGTACTAAGGACTGATCAACAATATCTTATTTGTTAACAATGGCCAAAACAAATATAGCTTGAAGACTAAAATTAAATTACAATTGAAAACAACTATGATGTAATGAGGCTGAGCTTGCAAGAAATGATCTAAAACACATATTTAGTTTAAAAGCAAATCTAGTATTTTTTAATTCATAATTGAGTATTCTTACTGGAACTATGCAAGTTGTAATTTATGAGACAATTGTATAAAAGTATATTTTTTAATACAAAGATGAGTATTCATACTGGGACTATGCTGTTGTAATTGATGAGACACTAGTATAAAAGTATATTTTTTTAATACATCAATGAGTATTCATTCATACTGGGACTATGCAAGCTGTAATTGATGAGACACTAGTATAAAAGTATATTTTTTAATACATCAATGAGTAATCATACTGGGACTATGCAAGTTGTAATTGATGAGACAATAGTGTACAAGTTTGCTTTAATATTCTAGATCGAAGTATGTGCCATTAAAACTACTGGTATCATTGAAACAGGATTTACATTTTGCATCATTTTCAATTCTAATGATGTTAAAATGTTCATAAAGTCTCTATTTACAAGTCTCTCACCTAGTCTGTGCTCAGACCATTACAAAGTCTTCATGTACAAGTCTCTCTCTTAGTCTGTGCTCAGACCCTTACAACGTCTATATTTACAAATTTCTCACCTAGTCTGTGCTCAGACCAATCTTGAATGCTGCAAGGCTCAGTAGTTTTGGTCAGTGCACTATAACTCTTATTTTCATGAACATGGGTTTGGCTCAACGGTATTTCATGCTGATAGCAAGGTAATGCATTCAAATCTGAAATGTAGCATGTCATTAGTAGTATCAGATGTATTATTTCAAACCTGATTGAAAATTTAATGACTTAGTAGCATGGAGAACCTGTCTTTCTACCTAGAGAGGACACATCCCCCCCCCCCCACACACACTGAGGCTCCCAAGTTGTTAAATCACTTGTATTCATTTTCAGACAGATTTAGAGCTCACCAGTTATATTTTTTGTTATGAAAGAAATATTGAAAATTTAATGACTTAGTAGCCTGGACAACCCGTCTTTCTACCTAGAGAGGACACATCCCCCCCCTCCCTACACACACTGAGGCTACCAAGTTGTTAAATCACTTGTAATCATTTTCAGACAGATTTAGAGCTCAACAGTTATATTTTTTGTTATGAAAGAAAGATGCAGAAAATTTCAAAGATATTAAACTGTTGTTTTTTTTTTTCAATTTAATTGAGAAAATAATAATTCTCTTCAGAGAACAACTACTAAGGCCTGTCTCATTTTGTAACTAAAGACCTGGAGAAGAAAAATGAACCAATATATAATTTCATTCATGAATTTATTAACTTATGTGGGAACATCATCAACAAATCTCTGAGGAAAACATACCACAGTTGATCAACATTTTTGTAAGAGTGTAGTTTGTAGTCTTAAAAAAACTGTTTTTGTTTCTAAATTTTTTTGTTTGAATTTGGAGTAGTTAAATGTTTTCTTCTGTAATATTACCTTTGCAAAGATTGGTCTTAATTGATTGCACCACTTTACATACAGGAAGTCCTTCAGGCTTATAGACACATATAACACCATTCAGCAATTTATATGCACTTGGCGCCCAGTTAAATCGAGACATTATCAATGATCATTCAATATGTCTTCAAATCTAGAGAAAAAATGAATTCACAGTCAGAAAACAGCTACAGAAGCATAACTACGAAGGTTAATTTAACATACAGTAAATTTATGCAATCCGCACTTATCGTAGTATTAAAGAAAAATTAACTCTAGTTCAACACAGGAATGAACAAAAGAGAGAGAATCCTACACACACACATATGTCATGGCCCTGATTGTGGACATAGATCCAACATCTCATCTTCATGGCATTAATTGAAAATGATACTAGGGTCAATTTCTGCAATCCATGGCATGAGTTATCCATGTGTCTAGGATTTTCTCCCTTTTGTTCAAACTTGTGTTGTTACTAGAGTTAACTTTTTTTTAATACATGATGGAATGGCAAAAAAAGATGAGAATGATACTAGGGTCAATTTCAGCAATCCATGTCAACACATATGTGTGTGTGTAGAATTCTCTCCCTATTGTTTATTCTTGTGTTGTTGCAAGTTAACTTTTCTTTAATAAGACCATTGGAATGTTTTAAATTAAAATTTCATTGGTCGGTTAATTATAATATTTAACATTTGGAAAATTAGTATTTTTTGATTTTCTGACCACTACTGGGTGGGTAGAACATGAAATAAAGTTTGTAAAAGTGCATTCTATGAAACTGTAAGTTGGGTTTTATTATTTTAAAATTATTTTGTATTGTTTTTCTTCACTTTTTACTTTATTCTTACCACAATGTGCCACACACATGTTTTAGTTGAGGGAAAGGGAGCATGTACTGGCTGATATTGTGCAAGGAAAATAGGCGACGCAAGTCAACATGCTTCTCGCCCAATATCTAGATGGATCCAATAAAGTAGCTTCTCTCGCTCCAAAATTTATGTACCAGCAAAAATATCTATACTATTAAATTTTAACTTCTTTTCTTCCTACTTTCATTTCTCTCTGTAAATTGTTAAACCAGGCCAGCACATTCTCCTACTTTCCCCTCCCATTTTAGCAGACGTGTTTCTTTCCATGGTAGGCACTTCGGTAAGGCAAGGGAGACTACATCAAGATTTGTATGGAAAATGGGAATCGGCGCAGTAGAATGCAAGTTTTTAATTTTTGGAGGTCGATGCTTTTTCATTTGTAAAAGGACTATTTTGTCATAGAAGTTATGGTATTCATCCATATGTTAACAGTAGTGGACGCCTTGACCTACATTTCCATTATAAATTTTGGTAAGCCTAAATTTTTGCCTTTTCAATAGACTCCAATATTAGAAATTCATGGTAAATATAAGGCATCAGTAAATTTGAAATCTCCGCGGCCACCATCTTGGTTGCCGCTACCCGCAAACTTATGTCCTTCATGTATCCCTAAATCCTAACCTGAACCCTAATTCTATCCCTAAACCTAACCTGAACCCTAAACTTATCCCTAACCTAGGTTTTGACCCTATCAGAACCAGGGTTTTGACCCTATTGGAACCAGGGACACAACATGCAAATGAAGTCAGGCTGCTATCTCTCCAAATTAGCCAAGTTAAGTACTACTACTATCTTATACTTATAAGATAAGTTTATACTATTACTTACTAGTTAACCAGTAATAATTAAAAATACAAATTACTGTAATTTAAAATAGTTCAGTCAACGCTCTCAACTACTTTGTCTTAATATGTTTCTGTAAAATTTTTTTTTCATAATTCCTAAGGTTGTTAAATTGGCCTTCTAAAATGTGTTAAATTTTTGTTGTATTCCAACAAAAAGATGGTATTTTATTTTTAAAAATACTTTTAATGATTTTAATTTTATGAAGTTCCAATTTTCAATGAAATGCCAATTCGGTAATCTACCACTTGAGCGTCAGCCAAGAAAAAATCCAGCTGTTCCTGTTTGAAGGGCTATTTAAACAACTATTCTTACATTATTTTTAATGACATTGGTTGTACGCATTCATTTCCAATAATAATAGACAATTTTTTTTTTTAAATTAGAAAAACTATAACAATTTTTTTGAAATAGAAGATAATGATTGAACAGGGAATTATGCATAGTTCTCTCCCAAGTTGACAATGAAGTTTTAAAAAAATATAATTTCCACGAAAACGGTTGTGGTAGATGAATCCACGAAAATATGAAGGGGAAAGATCAACGGCGCTTCTTGTGCCAAACCGTCTTTTCAGTTTATGCTTTCTGAGCATTCAGGTTTTCCACATTCTGTGTATGGACGTCCGCGTCATCTGGATCAAAAAAAAAAAAAATAATTGTTGTCTCTCTTTCTTCCTCGCATATCGGTAGCTTGGCAGTAATAAGTATTTAAACGTATTAGTATTAGTATTGTGCTATATAACTTTATAGCCTCTATACAGAAGCAAAAATATTAACAGACTCCAAAGTAAGAATAGTTGTTTAAATAGCCCTTCCAAACGGAACAACTGGATTTTTTTTTGGCCGACGCTGAAGTGGTAGATTACCAAATACCGCCAATTCAATTCAATTCCATGAGGTAAAAATTAATTTTATTTCTGTAGAAATAATAAAACGCACAAAAATAAGGGATTACCATACCGGCCTTCTCTTTTCATTAACTGATATCATGAAATATTATTTCTAGTAAGATTTAATTTAAGGTTGTCTATAAAATTCGGAGTGAACACCTCAGAACAAGTAACCACGACCTTTTTTGATGTTCATCGCCATTGTTGTTGTGGTTGGGAAATGAAAAATCGTAATCAGTGATTGTTGCGGAGAACAATATTCAGAAAAATACGAATTTTTTTTTAGTAAAGCCATTTTTTAGTGTAGCCATTTTCAAAACTGAAAGATACTGTTAAAAAACATTCGCTTTATTGGCTAATTTTTTTTTTTTTAACATTCATAAAATAGATTTGAAACGAGAAGTCTATTTTTCCTGTTGCAGGACCGGATTTAATTATAGACTAAGTATGCTAAAGCTTAGGGCTAGGGTCTCCAAAATCTAAACGTTGCTCAAAATCCACATTTGATTGATTCCTGCGATTTAAGGAGGGAGCTACACCGTGAACAATGAAAAAGCCTTTTTTCGAATTAACATTAACTTATTAAAACCATTGATATCAAATTAAAGTGTATTCAGTTCTTCACAATTATGCATTTGCGTACAGTTTGCGGAGTCTATGACGTATCATGTTCTCCAATCTTTGCACCCAATGGCCTTGATATATTTTTCTTTTATACTTAGCAAAGAGTTTCTTCTTGTAAATAAAATCTATAGTTAATAAAAAGCAACAAACAAACAAAAAAATAATAATAAATCACTGTATAACTTATCAATTTTAGGCAATGCGTATTATAATAATAATTAAACACATATCTTTATACGCACAAACTGTATTTTTTAAATGATATTCTAATTCAGGTAAATTTATCATATAAATTCTGCGAAAGTCATTTGTCAAATTGTGCCCTACATTCCATAATTGTTACTGAATTATAATTTACATAAATAATGTTCTTCTCCTATATCTTGAGGGCCCAGGATCAATGTATTGATAATTCTGGCTCCTTAGGTTCGTGGGGGGGGGGGGGGGGGGGGGTTCGCGATGTTACTGTGCATGGTTTTTTAAGGGGATACTTCACTGGTAGAAAGGGCTACTCAGCAATGTATTATGGACTGGGGGTTGGAAGACAGGAGGCAATAGACGCGGATGTGTCAAGAGCAGTAGAACAACTGTTGCTTTTGGAAGTTTTTTCCAGTCCCTTAAATGTCTTTGGTAGGAAAATTTTCTCCAGTTGAATGTCTCAAAAACTAAAGAAATGGTTGTTGATTTCAGGAGGGGGAAACACCAGATTACAGATCTCAATATAAAAAATCAAAATGTGGAGAAAGTGGAGGCATACAAGTACTTAGGTGTCACCATTAATAATAAGCTAACATGGCATGAGCACGGCCAAATGCTGTATAAGAAATTCAACCAAAGACTGCTCTACCTCAAAAAAACTTAACAATTTCGGTGTAAACAAGCAAGTCGGTAACTTATTCTACAGTGCAACAATTGGAAGCCTGCTTAATTTCAGTATTACCTGCTGGTGTGGGAATTCAACGTCTAATATTAAACACCGCATAAACCGACTAATCAAGAAAGCTAGGAACATAACACAAACTAAACATCCTTTACTTGAAGAACTATTTGAAGAAAGATGTTTTTGCAAAACTAAACACATTTTGGATGATACATCCCATTATCTTCATCACAGATACTTAGGATCTGGCCGTTCGGGACGAATTCTTTCCATCAGGGCGAGGACTGACATATAAAAAAATTCGTTTGTTCCCCAATCTGTACGAATTTACCGACATGCTTCCTCTGAAGTCACACATCTGCATGAGTGAGAACTAATAAGTCCTCGATTTTGCTAAGAGAACTCACTGAATGGCTGTTTGAAATAATTTATTATTAATGTCTTGTGTTCAAATTGTTTTATTTTTTAGCTGAAAATGTACAATGCAATCAAAAAACATTTCCATTTATTTGGATCAATAAAAGAATCTTATCTTATGAAATGTTAATCTCTTAATAGTGACGAAGTTCTCTAAATAATGATGACGACACATTTCCCCTTCTCTTGTTCTCCTAGGGCCTACTCATTGAACGCATAAATTATGCGAAAGTTATTTCATTGGCCACGATCAAACCACTTGACTGAGTTCAGCCAATCATTCCCCTCCCCCCACCTAAGATCGATTTCATGTTAGAGCGAAATGATGGTCTTTCTAATCTCATTACTCTGTCGTAGCCTTTCTCAATAGCCTGGTGTCGTGTGAGGAGAAAAGTCATCAGAAATGTACATCACTGGTTGCCGTGTTGCAAGAAACCAAAGAAACCGTAACAGCTGGATTTGAGGATATCGTCCAAGGCCTGATTGCGAGGAGTCCGCCCAGCGCTAGACAGTCCATCACAACAACATACCACTGGGAAGTCCATCACAACAACATACCACTGGGACGTCCATCACACAAAATACTGCTGGGAAGTCCATCCCACATCATACAGCTGGGAAGTCCATTCCACAACATACCACTGGGAAGTCCATTCCACAACATACCACTGGGAAGTCCATCACAACAACATACCACTGGGAAGTCCATCACAACAACATACCACTGGGAAGTCCATCCCATAACATACCACTGGGAAGTCCATCCCATAACATACCACTGGGAAGTCCATCCCATAACATACCACTGGGAAGTCCATCCCATAACATACATAGGGAAGTCCATCCCATAACATACCACTGGGAAGTCCATCCCATAACATACCACTGGGAAGTCCACCTCATAACTTACAGCTTGAAATGCTACTCTACAGCATACCTCTTAGAATGCTACTCTACAGCGTACATCTTAGAATGCTACTCTACAGCGTACATCTTAGAATGCTACTCTACAGCGTACATCTTAGAATGCTACTCTACAGCGTACATCTTGGAATGCTACTCTACAGCGTACATCTTAGAATGCTACTCTACAGCGTACATCTTGGAATGCTACTCTATAGCGTACATCTTGGAATGCTACTCTACAGCGTACATCTTGGAATGCTACTCTATAGCGTACATCTTGCAATGCTACTCTACAACGTACATCTTGGAATACTTCTCTACAGCGTACATCTTGGAATGCTACTCTACAGCGTACATCTTGGAATGCTACTCTACAGCTTACATCTTGGAATGCTACTCTACAGCGTACATCTTGGAATGCTACTCTACAGCGTACATCTTGGAATGCTACTCTACAACGTACATCTTGGAATGCTACTCTACAGCGAACATGTTTAATTTTTTCAATGGGGTGAATATTCATGGGTATTAATGTGGATAGTGTGAAAACTTTGTTCAAGTTTGTAACACACTTGAATGTTTTTTTAAAGTAAAAACAAAAATATATCTTTGTAACACACTTCTACTCTGACATGGCGTGGGATGTTATTTCTTATGCTGTGGGTTATGTCAGTAGTATGGTTACTTATATTAACGCTTCAGGATGCCGACTCAGTCTTCTTCATTCTTTCACTTATTATTCAGGCACGTAAAGAAGAATACTCAATTCTAGTTAAAACTCACAGTACTTTATTGAACACACTTTATATTGATAATATTAATAAATAATCCTTGCATGAATGTAATTTCACATATATATCTATAGTATTCCATCATTAAGAAAGACACGTCCTCAGACTACTATAACTCAGCTCAACTGTCTAATCTCACAGCTCTCACGCTACTGACTGACTCTACTGCTCTGCGCTCAGCTCTCCTTATCTCAGTCAACTCATACTTTATTACCAGCAAAGCGTGCAAAACAACCGCTCTGACAAAACATAATTTTACTCTCCAAAAACGTGGAGTTCACATTTGTTCTCAAAAATACAATCCACATTGATTGTCTCTCCCCGTGGAAAAACCTGGTGAACACACTCACTGTCCACTCATGCTACCTCTCTGTTTACATGTGAAAACATAGTCCGTTACATGCCCCACCCATCTGAAAAAATTTTGTGCAACAAAATTTTTGGCATTATATGTTGAAATAATGATAATGTCTCTTAGAAAATTTCAATGCCACATCTAACAATCAAATCAGTGTAACAACATTAACATTTCATCATTATGAAATACAGAGTCTTTTACTGTTAATATCACACTTAATAGTGAATAATGTACCCTGGCAAAAAATTAAAAAATCACCAATGACAACCTCTTAAAATCTTTATGTATGATAATGTGAAGTGACATTAACATCTTAATGAATAATAAACACTGCAAAATGAATGTAACAATCTTAAATTTTGCATTAGAAAATTTACAATCGGTTAAAATATGATATTCATTTACAAAAATTGATATGTACAAGTGTCTTATCAAAAAACTGATTGAATGTGTATTTTAATGCTCTTCATGCTCAATTTAACCTTAATTTTATTGTCATTGTCTATGAAAAAGTTGATAACCAAGAATGTAAACAGTTTATAAAATAGTTCTGTATTGACAATTATCATATTTGAAAAAAATTTTCCTCTTGACAACTAATAATTAATTTAGCAGAAAGTGTTATGCTAGGTTAGCTAAAATGTAATGTTAAGTATTTCTCCGCACTGAAGAAAATGACAATTGTGATCTGTTATCTCTTTGTCTATCTCTACCCATAAAATTGTTTGCAGTTGTGTAATGTTCTTCTTCTATAAACTTGTTTTCTCTGTATTTGATTTCGTTTTTGAATTTTTCAGTCTGTCTATATTGTTGATGAATATTTCTTGAATTCAGTCTAAAAATGTGTTTTGCCCTGTCTGATTTTTGTTCTGTATATGTTTTATTAAGAATTCCTTTGTTATGTTGTCTTGATATGCTATGTATTGTATTCATGCTAAAATGTCTTCCTCTTATCCCTTCTGTTATTAGATAATTAGTGTTATTGCCTAGTTCTTTTATATTGCCAATAATTAATGGACACACTGGATTATCCATTACAACAGCTGTTACAGATCCTGTGATCCATGGACAATCAACTTTGATTCTAGCTTTCTGACATACTATTCTATTATTGTTGGTTAAAATAACTATGGCTTTTTCATTTGTGTAGTAGTTGTCATTTACTAATTTTCTATCTACAACTATTGTTGTACAACCAGTGTCTCTGAGACATTTAACTACTTTATTGTTAACAA